AAACCCACCTTTTCTTCGCATAGAATCTGCAAGCTTCTCTCCGGTTCTGGAATCGAAGGAGATTGCCTCAGAAACAGCGTCAGCATGAATCTTCCAGTAAAGCCAATCGACAGTTGGTCAAGAGGAATTTGCTTATTCTAGACGACTTCTGTCGTTTTATATACGAAGAAAATGCAGAGTTCGAATAATCTTCTCAGATAAGAGTGATGTGAGGACTTTTATCTGGTATGGAAGTACATGGTTAAAAGATTTGTAGGTCAATCGCACCAGAAGTCGTTGGCTAATCCGCATCGTGGCAAATCTAAGAGACAAATAGACCAGCCGAGAAGTAGACCTGCCGAGCTTAGCAGCAAAAGGTGAGACAAATTGTACTTAAATAGCATTGCAATAAGCTGTTGCTGTCAGAAATACCGAAAATATCCAATGTCTTGTCACATTTTGGTGCAGGATACAGCCGAGACTAGGTAGCCTCCGTCCGATGAAAGGATTTGTTTTAGATATGAAATATGCGTTAAGATAACTGAAGCCATCCAACTAATGTGAGATAGAAATCCTCATTTCCGCATGTTAACATTGCCATTGAAACCTTCCAGTAAGTTGCATAGCTTAAAATGTGAATCTAGGTCTAGATATTAAAATGTCTACTTTAGCGAAATATAAGTAGTGTGATCAATCAAAATGACAAAATTCTACTACCAGACCTTTATCACCCTAAACGGAATAGGGTGAATACATCTCATATTATTGTTTTACTGGTAGCCTCTAAATTCTGCTTACACACGAAAATAAAATAATGAGACAGTCAATAAATTTTTCCCACAGTGATATGGCTAGTCCTTGAGTCTCCGATACATTTCACAAAGCCTTGTCCCACAAAGGGTGTGATCATCCAGGGTGGACTGCAGTTTTAACCTCACCACCCTAGGCTGGACTCGAACCATGATAGTACAAAATATGACCTAGACGCGTTAGTCACTACGACACATTGCCACAAATTCCCTCAAGCAATGGTCGTGGAAAAATTCAACCACCAGTCCTTCATCAACTTAATGAAATAGAGCGAATTCATCTCATATATACGCTTTACTGATAGTCTCAGAAACCAACTAATAAACAAAAAATGGGGAATATAGTCGATTGCTATAGTAATCGAAAATCATACAATATAATGTGATATGGGAAAACGCTTACTCGTCCTTGAAATGTAATCATTAACGTGTCGAGATCATGTACTGTATTATAACGGATCGAGTCCCAATAAGGGTACTGATCAGACCAGTTCAAGCGAGAATGAAACGGGAGTTTATACAAGTCTGGATGAGCATACCTTTAGGAAGCAATATTATGTGAAATTCAGTGGAAACATACAGAATACTCGAATCATTGTGAAAAAATTAGACTACCAGTCCTTCATCACTTCAGTGAAATAAGGGGAATATATCCCATATATATGGTCTACTGATAATCTACTTATACACCAAAGACAAAATACAAGTTTGTCGTATCAAGGCTCTTCTTGATCTACACTATCCGGGTTCGAGTCTCGCTTGGGAAGGTGAGGGGAGTTATGAGAGATCGAGACTGCCTTCCAGTCCAGCCTGGATGGGAACACTTTTTGGAGAGCAAGTTTTGGAAACATCAAGAGAAACCCAAGACCGACTTATATGATTGTGGTAAAATTCAATCATCAATTCATATGCAGGATTTACTGATACTTTGGAAGCCTAATTTATATGAATAAAAGTCATAATACTCCACTTGCATTGCAGCAAGTCAGGGTCGGTATGGCCAATTGGGAAGAATTAGTCTCAAGAGCTTGGAAAGCCTGAAAGCTCCTATTTCGCTTCTTTCATACCCCACAGGGGCGTGGTTCGCTTCAGGCGACGGCAAGACTACTCCACGAGCTGGAAACCATTTGCTTGGCGCCCCATGGCAGTATGACCTCTCCGACGGACAGAAGGTGGGGGAGTGGAAGGGGGGAGAGCAGGCAAGAGTTTAGGATTGTTGAGCCCCCATTCAAGTGGGGTCTAGGGTATGGCAGGTGTGGGATTGGC